CCCCAAAACCCCAAAACCCCAAAACCCCAAAACCCCAATTATGATACAGAAGTTGATTTTAATTGATCCAACTTGGCTTGTGATTAATAATTTTAAGAGTGTAAACTATTTCATCTTAAATTAATTAAATATGGTGAGCTATTCAAAGAGGTTCTGAAGTATCTAACCTCTCTCATTTGTAATGTAAGACTCATATCTTTGTCAACTTCCATAGTGCTTAGTCAAGGTTGATTATTCCTTGTTCTGGGGTCTGATAATTATTCCTTGCCAATGCATGTTTCGTTCCAATTTCATACTCGTTTCGCTATGGTTAGGAATTTTTACAAATACCTGCAATTTTAGGTGAGGCTCTAAGCTTATTTCTGCACGTTTAAATGGGATTTTGCCTTTATTTCTAGAAAGTACTTTTATGGTACTTCTCTTTGATTTATTTAAGTCAACCGGTTATTAAATCTTGACAAAATTCCAGATTTAGAAGAAGATGACTTATTTATCCTGATGAAACCTTTTTGCTAATGAAGAGCAACGTCCATTGGTAGGCGTTCAGAACCGCAGTTCTGTACTGAGAGGGGGTAGAGAAGCAAATTTGCTAACATTTGAGTTTCTACTCTGGCAACGAACAGGAGAGACGGTAGATGATAACCCTTCTTCTCAATTAGGTAGATGATTTCTATAATAAAAACATAGGAATGGGATAATAATGTGAGTAACCACAAATCTAAATTCTTACTTTGTTGGAGTCTTTTCTATTGGGTCATAATATTTATCATAAAGCTGCTGAATTCTGTCCTTCAGAGAGGTAAGCCTCTTTTTAGATTTAATAACAGTAGCATTTTTGTTCTTATTTTAGCACTTTCATTGACATGAATTTCTTCTAAATATCCTGGTGAGAAGAGATTTTATGAAGATTTTTAAACCATGTTATTATCTTAATCGAAGTCTTACTGGATTAGAATTCTGTTCTATTTTCTCCAGGATAGGTAGGTTCACCTCAGTATTATCATTAGTAGTACTCTTAAAGTACTGTGAGACGTTCCGGCTATTATACTTCTTGTTCATATGAAATACGGCTGAAATAGACCGGTTAGAGCTTGTTCCCTAAAGGAGGTAAAACTAATGCCTTACTAATTTCTCATTTGTGCCTGGGTACTTTTTGGACTCAGTAAGGGTAAATTTCTTTACCATATGCTTTGAGTTACTCTTCTTGGTGCTTCCTTGCCTTGCAAGTTTTACAATTTCTTTATTATTCGTTGATCGATACACTTTGAGATTCTTGGTCGCAGAGGAAATTTGGATTAACTTTTCTGTATTTCCCTTATTTTGCTGACTAACTATGTGAATAAATTAAATTCAGTAATAACTCAATGCTTGGCTGGAAGGCACAATAAGAAATAATAAATTTTCATCATCATTTTTAAGTGGGGAATAGATTAAGAGGATACTAATACGGGGTTTTAAAATTTACGGAAGTAAATTCAAGGGATATGTCTTTGCATGGTTTACCCAAATGTTTCGGAAGATGCACTTGTATTCACTGGATTTTCCTTTTCTCACCTGCACCTTTATCTAAAGCTGATGAAGGAATATCCTCTTTGTCATGATCATTTATTTTAGACGGTGATTCATTCAAATGCATTTTGGAATATTATCAAATTTAATAAAATATTAGGGGTTTTGGGGTTTTGGGGTTTTGGGGTTTTGGGGTTTTGGGG